TATTCTTTAATTCATCTAAATTATTTTTATTTGGTTTACTATTATTATTATTATTCATCAAATGACCCAACAACTGAGTTATCATATTATCTCCCGAGGCATTTTTTGCCTTACTAGTACTAGTCACATGGTCTAACAACTTATTCGTCGCATTAATATTACTGGCGACCAGCATCTTAATCAAATCATCCTGGCTCCCCAACCTCTTGTTATAGTTGGTCTGCATGGAATCAATAACCTTCCCATATACATCATGCGTATCTTTTGATTTTTTTATCTCATTATTATTCATAGTTTTTACTACATCAGCATGATTTCCACTCAAACTCATCACCACCTTTGTTTGGTTATCGCTTAAATTCTTGACGACTTCTTTATGATTATCGCTTAGATTCTTGATAGTCTTCTCATGTGAACTGGTTAAATTTTTTACAGTCTTTTTCTGATCATTACTTATGGATTTAATAAGATTCGCATTATCATTATTCATTTTCTGTATTGATTTATTTTGCTCAGTTGTCAAAGTTTCTACTATCTTCTTTTGGTTGATAGCAAGAGTCTCCACAGTTTTTGCATTTGTATAATTTGCATACTTTGATATGGCAGTGTTGGAAGACGTGACCACACCAGACTTCCCACGCCCATAATTACCACCAGGGGCAGCGATATCAGACGGCTGCTTCTTTTTTTTAGAAGATTTGTTAGACGACATTACTTTTTAAAAAAAAATAAATTATATCTTTCTTTAATATATTATATTTTATTTAAAATTTATATATCATAACACTAACATATATACTTATATTTAAAAAAATGTTGAAACATACATATATTTATGTTTAAAAAAAAATGTTGAAGATTTTTTAGCCTTGTTAAAAAATACAACAAAAAATATCGGCGATTCCTGAAAGGAATCGCCTACTCATTACAATCTGATTAAATAGTATTCATGTATAAAATGACGAAATGATTTCACCACGTGATCTATGAATTCTTGATCTTTTTTTCGTTACAGCCTTTTTTCTTTTGTTTTTTGTCACACGAGGTTGCTTGGTACTTGTGCCTTTAGGCTTATGCACATTCACATAACGAGGTGTGGTACTGGTACCATAAAACTTTTGAAGATAGATACCACCAGGATAACGCTTGGTAATTTGTCCGTTTTTGTTTAAAATAGGCACATACCG